TTTCGGGTTTTTTAAAGCTGTTGAGTGTCCTCAGAGAGTCCTGTGTGCGGGGAGAGGGTCAATAGTTCTTGCCGTGCTGGGCGTACCACTGCTGGCGCTGCTGCCGCTGCTCCAGCTCGGTGAGCAGCGCCTGCCGGAACGCCTCGTACAGCTTCACGATCCGCTCCAGCTCCTTCATGAACAGCAGCTTCAGCATCCCCTGGTACGTGTCCAGGTCCGCCAGCTGGAACAGCTCCCACTTCAGGATGTGGTCGTACCTGGAGGGGGGAGGACAAAGGGGGTCAGACTTTGGGGAGCTGCGGGGTTGGGGCTTTTCTGGGAGCTGGCAGGGAAAAGGGAGTCGGAAGAATCCCTGAATGATCCCTCCAAACACAGCAGGACTCCAGAAATGCTGGAGAGCCCCTGAACTGATCAGAATTAGCCAACTGAGAGAGATACAGAGGGTGGGAGAGCTGGGGGGGTTCACCTGGAGAAGAGAAGGATCCAGGGAGACCTGAGAGCCCCTTGAAGGGCCTAAAGGGGCTCCAGGAGAGCTGGAGAGGGACTGGGCACAAGGGATGGAGGGACAGGACACAGGGAATGGCTTCCCACTTCCCACTGGGATATTGGGAAGGAATTGCTGGCTGGGAGGGTGGGCAGGCCCTGGCACAGGTTGGGCAGAGAAGCTGTGGCTGCCCCTGGATCCCTGGAAGTGTCCAAGGCCAGGCTGGACGGGGCTTGGAGCAACCTGGGCTGGTGGAAGGTGTCCCTGCCCATGGCAGGGGGTGGCACTGGATGGGCTTTGAGGTCCCTTCCAACCCAAACCATCCTTGGGATTCAGTGAAAATGCATTTTGGAATCATTAAACCCCATTCAGAACAAGATTTAGCCTTTAACGTTTGTTGAAATCGGAGCAACAAAAACGGATTGATTATTCCAGCAGCCCAGCAGGCAGGCAGGACACTGCCAGCCTCCCCTCACAACCCTCTGTTCCCAAAGGCTTCTCCTTCCAGCTGTACTCTTGGACTCCTAACCCCCTCCAATTAACCCCTCTTGGTTAATTAGCAGCAACAATCTCCAAGAGATATTTAAAGCTGCTTTACTTTGAGCAAAGCGATGGTTCCACCATCACTGCAATGACCCTCCTTTCCTGCTTGTCCCAGGATTCCGAAACACAATTCACTGACAATCTGATTTTCTTGACTTGGAAACTGGCAGCCGGTGATTGCGATGGTTAAAAGAGCTGGAGAAACTCATGGAATAACAGAGGTGTTTGGTGCAGGTACAGGAGAAGGGGGATTCACTTCAGTGGAGGCTGAAGATGAAATATCAGTGAATTTGTGGAAATTCCCCCTGAAAGGCCATCAGAGAAGCACCAAGACATGCAGGTGACTTCCAAAGATGCTCTGAGGAATTTTCACAATTTAACTAATTATAAACTTCCTAAATAACTTTTATTCATCAATGACGTTTTTGGAAGATTCATTTATAATGTATTATAAAATACTTACTTTGTAACTTCTGTATTAAAGTTACCCTAATCCTGACAGGGCTGCACTGCTAAAATCACTTTTTTTTTTTTTACCCCAAAAAAACTAGAAATAAGAAATTGCAGATGTTTGGGAGTTTGAGCTCTGTACTGACAAAGAGGGTTTTGAAGATTTCCAGGTACAAAAACCTTTGGAAGATTGTTGAGTTTACAGGGACAACACCTTTCCCTCTCTCCCTCCCTCTCTCTCCCTTTCCACTCACCACGAGCCAAATCCAACCCACCCTGAGAAACAGCTTACAATGATTTCAGGGAAAAACTGGGCTGAAAACTGATGCAATTTTTCTCAGCTGACTTGCTACAAATTGCTTAAATTGTCTTAAATGTCTTTCAAGAAAAGGATCCACCAGAATGCACACACAGCACAGGCTGAAATATTTAAAACTGCACTGTCTGCACGTGCCAAAGACCTAAGGAAAGGAATGAAGCTGCAGCCAAGTGGGAAAGTATTTCTAGGAAAGAAAAGCTGGGGGATTTCAGGGCAATTTAAATCTTTATGGGCTGCTGGCAAACCCAGCAGTCACAAGGAGTAATAAAACCCATTCAGACTGCAGTTACTAGAGGAAAGTAATAAAACAAAGAGAATTTTCTTTCTTAGTGGAAGTCACTGAGCATCACACACAGCCTGAATTTCCAACTGCAGAGCGGCCTCCTCGCTGTAAAACTGAGTTTCTCCACATTCTTATGAAAAAGGACATGACTGAATAACTATTAGGCCATATTTGGGTTTTTCATTGCTTTATATTTAATGTTACCCTTCTGCAGAGCTGCACCCATTAGAAAATGTGATTTGGTTCATTGTCCTGACTGAAATCTTTTCTTGGAGGAGAATCCCTCAGCAGCTGCTCTCACAAAGTGACTTTTATCACCACTTAGTTTTTAATGCAATCTCTTGAATAGAAATATAAATGTCAGTCTGTATTTGGTCTTCCAGGGCCTAAAGGGGCTCCAGGAGAGCTGGGGAGGGACTGGGGACAAGGCATGGAGGGACAGGACACAGGGAATGGCTTCCCAGTGCCAGAGGGAAGGGAGAGATGGAAGTGGAAGGTGTCCCTGCCCATGGCAGGGGGTGGCACCGGATGATCTTTATTATCCCTTCCAACCCAAACCTTTCTGTTATTCCACGATTTAAAATTCTTAAGGGGGAAAGAAAAGTTGTGTTTTTTTAAAAAAGGAGCAAGACAGACAGGAGGAGGTCACACCCTAGAGATGTTTCACATATTTTCTAAGCACGTGGCACAATCACCCGACAGCAAATCCCACCCTCCCCTGTCTGACAGAGCTTTCAGGGAGCTGCAAGAAGTTGCTGGGATGATTTCAAGTAAGGCTGGAAGCAAAGCAAAGGCGAGAAAGATTTGGTACAACTCCCTCAGCGTGCTGCGAGCAGAGATCAGACACGAGTTCTCCCTTCCCGTGGAAATCCTTTGGTTTCCCTTTTTTAGGTGTGAGCTGCAGGAGGATAAAAATAATAATAAAAAAAAAAGGCGAAATCTCACTTGACAGGAGCCCTGGCGTAGACCTGGAGCCAGTCTGGGATCTCAGCAGTGTGGTAGGGGTTGGCAGGGACCAGCAGGGGTTGGCTGCGCTCGGCCGGCTGTGGCTGGTAGGACACGGGGGGCGGCTGGTCGTAACGGGGAACGCTGTGGGGGGACACAGGGAGAGCTGTGAGCTCTGAGGCACTGCTGGCACACTGGCAGCGTTGACTGCTTCGCTCACACGCAGATTCAGGGCTGCAAGGGCTGCTGGGGCAGGGGGTGGCCTCAGGAGGTCTGCACCGAGCAGATCGCCCGGGGGAAAATGCCCTCACACCCACTCGCCACAGCAGCACAGAGCATCGCATCAAACACCAACAAAGTGCTGCTTCAGCCACACAACCCACCACCTGATACCTCAAACCAGCGTATCCAGGCAGCAGCTGGCGAGTTATTCCATATATAGACATCCTGATATATTTCTCACATACAGTATATATGTATCATGTATTTATCTTTTGTGCCACATGCTAGAAAGCTTTCTCTCCCTGGGCACCAGCAAAACAGACTGAGTGGCAGGAATTCACTGTTGGATTTGGTTTATGTTACCTTAGTTTGGCCTGGAAAACACAAGTAGCTCAAGTACCACTCTAGACAAGAGTTAATTCACATTTCAGGTGTTCAGCCGCCTCTGGGAGCATCAGATCGAGTTTCTTTTCCAGTCTAAACAGTTCAATCCTGCTCTCAGCAGCTCTGCTGGTTTACTGACAGCTGGAGAGCTGCTCTGCTGGAGTGACTGAGGAGCAACATCCCCCGACAATCACACCTCCCCCTCAAGACGTGGGTCGAGACCCAGCAGAGCTCGGCTCTAAAAACAACTTTTTGGCACGCTGAGACCAAACCGGTGCTATTTTAACGGGATGAAGGGAAAGAGGAGCCCAGAGGGGGTGTGTGCCTGACCTGGGAGCGCAGGGGTGTTTGTACTGAGCTCTTTTGTTGATGTGATCCACGTAGTAGACGCCGAACTCGGCAGACTCGACGCGCTCCCAGCCCGGCGGGAGCCCCTCCCGCTCCAAAGGGTGGCTCCAGTGAGTGGTGTTGGTGTTGTGGTCTATGTAGTATTTCCTTCCTCGGATAGTCCAGTCCACTGACCAGCCAGGAGGAAGAGGTAAATCTTCAGAACTGTGATTTGTTAAGTTTCCTAGAGATGTAGCAGCAACTCTCCCAATGCCTGGGAACAAAAAAAAAAAAAAAAAAAAGGAGATCAGGGTTTAGTTATTTCATTATCGTGTCACAGAAATGATCATTTCTGTCAGCACACTGTCACAGCTGCAGCATTCATCTACAAAACATCTCTTTTTCTGGTTACAGTCAGAAATTACAACTAATCCAGGGAAATCACAGAACCCCAACAACGTTTTTAAGTTGAACCGGTGAAGAACAGCAACAGGACCAGGGAAAATGAGAGAGGAGGGACATGAAGGGCTGACAGGAATCAGCAGGTGATTAAACTCCCTGGAAACACAACATACCCGGGATTCATCTACCACTAAATTTGAGAGACTGCTCACTGGCACTTCAGAATGCTGGATGGCGAGAGATGCACCAAAGAAACACAGTTCTTTCCCTGTCCTTTGCTGGGGATAATCAGGAAGCTGATTGAAATCAAAGACTTAATGCCCATTCAAGAAAACAAAAAAAAAAAAAATCCACCCCAAAAAAAGACCCCAACCACAAAACCACGGCGACATAAGCGGGAATTCTGCAGGTCTCTTTCCATTCCTGGGTATCTACAACCTCCTGGATGTGCCAGCCCAAATTCAACTCCATCTTTGAAGTCCCTGCAGCAGTTTCCCCCTCAGCTCCCCCAGTTCTGCAGTTAAACAGCAGAAGTTAAACATGTAAAGGAGTTCCCAGTTATCTTCTCATCCCACGGCCAAATGCACCCAATCAATCCCCGTGTCATCGCTTTGTGTGTCACCATTTCCCACAGCCAGCAGAAGGGATTTGGGAGCCACTTTCCCCACTTTTTTTTAGGAGCCAGGAAGTGCCTCCCTCACACATCCCACGTTTATTACTGATGGGAATACACCCCTTTCCTCCTGTTTGGTTTCTTTTTTCAGGAATAGCGTTTTTGGGTGACTGTTTTTGGAGAGAAAGGAAGGGTTGCCTCTTGTGTCAGTACTTACCTCTTTGCCAGCCTACAAAGGGAAGCTGTGTCCACCTTTAATTGGGATTAAGCATCCCAGGCCTCTACTTCCAGAGAAAAAATCCTGGAGGCTTCCTGAGCTCTGGAAGTGCTGGGGCAGGGAAGATATTCCAGCCCCTGGCAGTGATGTCACTTGTTTGGCTTTCATTCCACGGACAAAACACAAACATTTTGGCTTCCTGAGAATGTTTTGGGGGGCAGCAGATCCACACCATTCAAATGAACGTGGAATCAAAGGCCAGGTTTATAAACTGATGGTTGTAAATGCTTCACGTTTGTCATCATCATTATTATTATTATTATTATTTTTTTTCCCCTTAAAATCACAGGTCACGGTGGGATATTCTGTGTGGGGGAAGTTTTGTGATGTTGGTATTCATGGTGCCCTTAAAGTCACCAACACACTGTGGCATTAAAATCAACAATTAGCACTATTTAGACTTTTTTTCTTTCTGTAAATGGAGTTTAATTAGAGAGATTAAAAGAAATGATATATTGGTTTTCCTGGTAAACCTCAGCAGATGCTCCTTAGAGGGAGGGTGGATACAAAGGTAAGGGAAAAAGCTCCTGCTGTGATTCTGAACGGGAAGGGAAGAGGAAAATTGACTTTTTTTTTGATATATATATACACCTGTAAGGATCAATAACAAGACTGAACAACACCAAAAGTAAATTCCTATGTGATCTTTCCCGAAATACTAAACAAAAGAAAAAAGTTAAAGCTCCAGCCTAAACCTGTGGACACTGCCCTTTCCACGGCACGTTGCCAGGGATGACCCTCCTAAATTCCAGGTAAGGTCTGAGCCCTGGACCTAAACAAGACAGAAATTCTCATTATTCCCGCTTTCCTAAGGGACAGAGTTGCTCAAATTATCTGCCTTTTCCAAGTGTATCCTTTCCTCTGCTCTGAGAGGATGGTCTTTACAAACCCCCCCCCCTGAGTGGCACCATCGAATCTCAAGGATGGTTGACAAATAATTTGAATTTATGCAGTTTGTAAATCCTTTTCAGGATGTCTCTTCAGAGCTTTTCTAGCCCCATTTGGTCATTCTGGTCACAGTGATATCATATAATATATAATGGGCTCGCTGTTGCTTTTAAGGACCGTCAATACTGACGTTATTTTGAGGCTTTGCTTTTTCCTCCCGTTCCTAAAACACAGAATCTTCAATTTTAAGGTCCTGAAGTACCACCTTTAACTCTGAGCACCACTGCAAGAGTTCCTGCTCCTAAAAATGGATCTTATGGGTAATAAAAAGTCACAAATGGGATTTCAAGAAGAGGTGGTGTTGGGTTTGCTCCCTCAGGGTGGAACAAAGGAACTGGAATGGATGGATGTGTCGGTGCTTTCCCAGCCCACTGAAAGGGGTTCGTTCCCTGCCTGGAAACAAATCCAAGTCCTTTGGAGGAAACATTTCCAGGTCAGCAAAGGGCAGTTCTTCAGTCTGGTGGGCAGGAAGGACAGGAGAGAAATCCCAGCACAAGGGGAAAAGAGGGAAAACCTCTGAGGAGAAAAGATTCCCTTTGGGAGGAGCTGATGTTGGCAGGGAGGTTCCAGAGCCCAGGAACTCCCCACAGCTGCCTCCAAACACATCTCCAAGTGCTGAAGAGCCAATCTCCCAAACCACTGTTTTGTCTTTCATCAGCCCAATTGTCCTCAGAGCCTTTTTTCCAGGATGCCAAAAATCCTCTCCCTTCCCTCCCCTCCTCAAACCGGGATGAAGGACGGGAGGAGAAGACGAACCAACTGTTGGATTTTCAGGGAATAAGGAACAACAAAACGGCAAAAAAGCAGCTCCAATCACTCCTGTCCAGCCAGGCCTGCGGGCCCCAGGCCTTCCTCACCCATTCCAAACCATCCAGAGGGACTTCCTGAGCACAAGCACCTCTTCTGCCAGAGGGAATGGGGGCGTTCCAAGCAAGCACAGCTTCCAAAATAGGGAATGGACAGGAAGGACTGGGAAAGCTGCGAGAATTCCGCTGCAAAAATCAGCCCAGAGGAAAAAAAAAGGGCAGGAACTGCCACTTGTTTGAAAATGAGGGGCGTGCAAACACCTCAAAAGCGTGGCTGTTTCAGCTCTGAACCGGTCCCATGTCATGACCTGTATTTATTTTGCTCTTTTACGACACAGGAACCCCAGTTTGCAATTTTTTAACGAGGTTTGCGAGACGGACCCGCTCTCACTCTGTTAATTGTCCCTCTCCTCTGCCATCCCAGCGATCTAATTCCAATCCAGCAGCAGCAAAGTCCCTCCACAGCGTGATTTCAATCTCAGCAATTTTTCATAGACACAGAAGAATGTTCTTACCGCTCACACAGGGACAAATAACTCTGAGGTCTTGGTTACAAGTTACTTCCAAGCTACACTGTAGGTATAACTTCAACCACAGACCTCCCCAAAACTTTAACCTAGAAGAGAGGAAAGACATGGCCAGGAAAGACAGGTAAAAAGGCTCTTAGAAATAAGTTTGAAAAGAACACTAAAAAAAAAAATAATAAAAAAAAAAGTTTGAGAAATGCCACAGAGGGAGGTAAACATATAAAAACTAGGAGGTATCTCAACAGCAGCACTGGATTGGTAATTAAAAGCAAATATAATGAAAGTAAGAAAAGGAGGACAGGGGAGAATGGAATGATGACAGAGAAAACGTGACTTGAAGGGGAAGTGCCTGGGAAAGAACATGCAGTGCTGGCAACAAAGTGCTGAAAAACCGCAGGGCTTGCTCTGCTGAACACCCTGAAGATCCCACCAGGAGCACGTTTGAAACTTCTCTCCAAGTTATGAAGAGGGGAATCTTTATTTGGAGTGAAAGCTGAAACTCTCAGGCACCTCCTCACTTCCCAAAAAACCACCTGGTTTGGTGGAACCACCACTGAGTGGAATATTCACCAACAGCAACAACGCCTTGTGCTCGTCATTCCCTTGGGAATGCACCCAAAATGGACCAGGACTGACTTTCAGAGGGGGGAAGGTGGGAGAGGAGGGAAAGCAACATTTACAGACTCCACCCAATGAAGAGATTTTTGAGTGGAAACTGCAACAATTTGCCAACAATTATCCCAATGAATATCAATCAGATCAAACATTTGGAAGCAACGGTGCAGATGTAGAAGACAAAAAGGAATTCAGACTAAGACAATGGAAGCAAAAGGCCTGCCTCAGGATTCTGGGAATTCAGGGAGGAAAGGAACAAGAAATTAAAGAAAAATGACTGTGGCAGCTCAGGGTTTGAAGGATGGCTCAAAAAAAAAAAAAAAAAAGCAGCTTCATGGTGAGATGAAAGTAAGAAAATCGAAGGTTTTCTTATACTGGGCCACGTAACTCTTTGACTGAGAAAAAGTAACAGGAATTATTGAAGAGATGTAAAAAATGAAGGACACGAGTGACCTTCTGACTGTGGTGAAACAGAGGGAGGAATTTCAGAGTTCATATTCCATGCTGAGAGGAATTAAAAAAAATAGAGGAAAGGGAAATGCTTTGGCAGGCAAAAGGCTCACCCTTGTCCCTCCTTACAAATGCACGAGGTTAAGTTACAAAATCCGTGCAGAAATTTGCTCAAATAACATTTAAACGTTAAATGTGAGGTGGAATGACAGAGACCAAACAAACAGCAGCAGCTCCTTCGTGATTTCCAGGGCTAAGGGGGCACAGGTAAACAAACAGCACGGACAAAGAAGTTCATTTAGAAAGAAGGAATTGCTACCCTTGAGAAAAATCTGGCTATGAAGCCTTACTTTTAGCTTCTTTTAGAGACCTGATAGATTGAACTCCCACTTTCAGTCAAGAGCTTTAATTTTTGAAGTCTCCTCAGCAGACACAACAACTGTAGTAATTTGGAACTTTTAAACTGATGGATTGGTTGATTTGTGAAATTCCGCCCCCCCCCTCCTGCCTCTCTTCCCAAAAATATCCCAGCACAACCCCACCAGAGGCTCGTTACCTGCACCAGGGGAGTGGTCAATGACTGTTGGATGAGCAACAACCAGCAGGGATGGAGATAAAACAGATGCATTTAGCAAAATGAAGGAGGATTAAAGCAGCAAGACCTAAAGCTCAGCATTTCAGAATTTCCTGCCTGACAGCTCCCACATCCCCCTTCTGTCACTCCTCATGGAAATGTTTCTGTGGGAAAAGGAAGCACAAAGCCCTGCCAGGCTCTAACTCCACGCAGGAGCTCGGCAGCATTAAATGCTGGATGTTCCTCCTGGCGGGTTTATTTTTTGTAGACGGGAGATTTATTTTATTAGAGACTAATTACTGTTTTGTTTGCAGATTAGAAGCGACAATCTATTTCATGTTGAAGGCACGTTATTTACAGGTTTGAAATGTTCCTCTCAAACTCCTCCTTGGACGCAGCTTTTGCAGCATCAAATACAGAATCAAACATTTCAGAAAATGTTTAGTATTTAATGGCTTCCTCTTCCTTATGCTGTTCTTTGGAAAACAAAGACAAGCTCCAGTGAAAAACTGAGGGGGGGGGAAACAGATATATTTGCAAACAATATTAAAAGCTAAAAGAAAGGAGCTGAAAGAAAGGAGATGGCAATTTGCTAATTACACAAAGCAGTCATTCCTCCCTTTGACTATTCATAAGCAATCGTTTTAATTATTGGGGTCAAATTAAAACAATGACACTAAATAATAAGACAATGAGAGTTAAAATATAATGACAGTAACGACAACGACGACGCTGCAACGTTACAATCTCGAGCTGCTGGTTATTCTCTGTGTCACGATGTGCAATAATAAATTATAAAATGAAAATATTTTCTTACCCAGGAACTGATGCAACTTCGTGCAGGGGAGCTGCATATATGCCTGGCCTTCAGAAAACCCCCAATTTGCTTAAACTTATCCCGTTTATTTAATAATCAAAGAGCGTGCAGAGAGTTATTTTCACTTTCTGGATGCCTGTGATCAAAAACTCTCAACCCAGCTCCCGTGGAAAAGCAGCTCCGTCCTACACAACCCAACTCTCCCCAGAAAACATCCTCCAGCTGCACCTCGGCCCTTAGGGGGAGGCCGAGAAGCCCTTACCTGACGTGTGCCTGCCATGATTGTGGGCCATCCTCTGGAAGAGCTCCCCGTTGTGCTCGCTGTAATACCTGTAGTCCTCGTGGGCTCTCTCGCTCAGCTGCCGCCTCCTCTGGGCCTCGTAGAAGTGATCGTAGTAATAACAGCGGGCCCCGGGGTCCCCGTTCTCCAGCCCGGCGCTGGATTCCGCCAGGAAGGACTGCGAGGAGGAGCCGTATTCCCTCGGGACATCGGCCAGACTCCTGGCCAGATAGGAGGGCGCGGACAGTCTGTTGCTCTCCCGCCTCATGATTTCGTGAGGCGGCCTCTGCACGGGGGTTCGGAGGAAACTCTGGTTCCTGGAAACGATTCCATCTCCTCCGGGGGCGTAGGCGGAGGCCGTGGGGTCGGGAGGGCAGATGTCGGTTCGCCTCGGAATGGTGGGACCGTGACGGATAAAGGAAGGCATCAGGTCTGGCAAAGAGCAGGGAAACAGAAGTCAGAACTCTGAACTCCGCCTGCACTTCCCACACCGAGCCTCCGAGCACCACCCTAGAACTGAGGGAATTCCCGTGCAAAACCCGCTCGCTGCAGGTGCAGACAGACTGGGAATGCTGCGGGGTGTCCTGCTGCACCAGGAGCCAGCGCAGCCTCCACCAGCAATGAACTGGTGCAGTTCTGCCACTTCAAACCAACCCCAAACACATCAAAAAACACACAAACAAACAAACCAACCAACCCTCAAACCACCCACTCTGTGCTGTGGCTGCATCAGTCAGGGCTTGCATCCATCAGAAGGGTCAAGAAAATCCCAATATCCTGGCTTCTACGTCATTGGGAACACTGTGCTTACAAACTGGGAATGACGAGATGTTAATGCCTGCAGGCTCACAGGGATGCGGGATGGAAACAGGAACACGATCCACACCGTGCCCACCCACCCCAAAGTCACCAAGCTCAGCCACAAAAATGCTGTCACTCTGCACACGCTGAATCCTCAAATTATCACGGAGATATTTCCCTTTCTCCCTTACAGTTTCACTGCCTCCCTCCAGCAAGCGAAGCATTCCTCCTCTCCCCGCTTTTGCTTTCAACATCATATAAATTAGGTAGTTTTCCCTCCAGCTAAGTCAACACAAATGACAGTTTTCATTCAGAATGAGGTTATGCCTATTATTAATTACTTTGTGTTAATGAACTCTTACAGGTAAAACGTGAGTCTTAGGCTAAAAAATGTGTAAAGTTATGAACACCTCAGACACACCCACAGCTTAACAGAACAAAAATTAGTGGGTTTTTGTGTCTGAGGACTAAGCCAACGCAATCAAACTACTGAATTATTTTGCCTACTGACTGAGGGACCAGTTGCTCGTGCAGCAAACACTTCCAGAAGAGCTGAGTGCCTGCTCCTGCCAGCAAATCAGTTCTTGCTAGCTGGGAACTCCCAACCTAATCCCGCAATTACAGGGTAAATAAACACACTTCAGTCTCGGGCTGTCTTTGAAAACTGACTAAAACCAGTAAACTCAGAGTGTTTTCGGTGGGTATTTGCCGGTGTTCTGTCCAGTCCCAGGAAAACGGGGCTGTGGCATCAGAGCCAGGTGAGCCGCGGGAAGCTCCGTGCATTCCAGGTGACCTCACCGGGCTGAGTCATGGATAGGACCTGGAGCCTGTGCTTCCGCAGGGATTTTATGCAACTGCCTGGCAGGACAGTTATCTCGTTCCCAAAGCACACCGGGAAAAGCACCGCTCCATTCTGGGAAGAGAGAGGTCACAGGATCACGGAATCGCGGACTGGCTTGGGCTGGAAGGGACATTTAAACACCATCCATCGTGTTCCACCCCCTGCCACGGGCAGGGACACCTTCCACTAGCCCAGGTTGCTCCGAGCCCCGTCCAACCTGGCCTTGTGATCTCTTAATTTATGCAAAAAAAAAAAAAAAAGTGTGGAGACTCCGTGAACCCCGACGTGCTGGAACTGAGGAGCCGAGAACTGAGGAAACCGCAAACCCCACCAAGCCGGGGTACGACGAGCACCCCGCTTTACCTTCCCTCCGTCACATCCCAGGGCTCACAAAGAAATTAAACACACCCATACGGAGGGAAAAGAGAGAAACACGCCCCTCATAACACACACAGGGACGACCCCCCCATCCTCCACCGGGACCCCCCCCGGGCCGCGCCGCTCCGGGCCCCGCTCCGGCCGCGCACAAAGGCCTCGGGCTCGCCCCCCACGGTGTCCCCGCGGTTGTTCCCCCGACACTCACTCCTCAGGAGCGGGCTCGTCTCCTTCTTCACGTACTTCCCCTGCACCTCGCCCGGCTTGGAGAGCTCCGTCCGCGTCTTCTTCCGCGACAGCATCCCACCTCCCGGCCCGCCGCCACCGCCCGCATGCCCGGCGCCGCTCCCCGCTCCGCAGGGGTCCGGCCGCCCCCGGGGGATCGGGACGGGGCCGGGATCGGGGATCGGGGATCGGCACCGGGGCCGGGCCGGGGGCCGCTGAGGGGACGCGGCGGCCGCGCGGGGGGTTGTGGGAAGGCGGCGGCCACCGCCCCTCCGGGCCGGCCGCGGGCAGCGCAGGGGAGGGGGCGCCGCCACAGCGACCCCGCGCGGCCGGGAGGGCGCGGCCCCTCAACGGGGGATCCAGGAATTCCCCGGGAATCCCGGGGAGCTCCGCAAGCTCAAAATCGCAGTGACACAGAACCACCGAGCCGCAGCATCGCCGAGGTTGAAAAAGAGATCATCGAGTCCAAACCTGTGGCCGATGCCCACCTTGTCCCCCAGCCCAGAGCGCTGAGGGCCACATCCAGGGTTGGGCACTCCAAAGCTCCCTGGGCAGCCCCTTCCAGTGTCCAATCACCCTTTCTGTAAAGAAATTCATCCTGATGTCCTATCTAAACCTCCCCTGGTGTAACTCGAGGCCGTTCCCTCTCCTCCTGTCCCTGTTCCCTGGGAGCAGAGCCCAAACCCCCCCCCGGCTCCCCCCTCCTGTCAGGGATTGCAGAGCCAGAAGGTCCCCCCTGAGCCTCCTTTTCTCCAGGCTGAGCCCCCCAGCTCCCTCAGCCCCTCCTGCTGCTCCAGCCCCTTCCCAGCTCCCTTCCCTTCTCTGGACACGCTCCAGCCCCTCAATGTCCTTCTTTAACTGAGGGGCCCAGAACTGGGCACAGAATTCAAGGTGTGGCCTCACCAGCGCCCAGCACAGGGGGACAATCCCTGCCCTGGTCCTGCTGGCCACGCTGTTCCTGATCCAGGCCAGGTTCCACTGGCTTAGCTTGTCCTTCTCTAGGACAAGAGGCACTGGGCAGAAAGTGATGCCCAGGAAGTTCCACCTGGGCGTGAGGAAGAACTTTCCTGTGCAGTGACCGAGCACTGAACAGATTGCCCAGAGGAGGTGTGGAATCTCCTCACTGGGGATATTCCAGAGCCCTCCGGACACGATCCTGTGCCACGTGCTCTGGGATGACCCTGCTGGAGCAGGGAGGTGGGACCAGATGATCCACTGTGGTGCCTTCCAACCTGACCCATCCTGGGATTCTGTTGCTATGAAAGCTCTGTCTGATAAATTTGCAGATATTGCTTGAAATACCTGCAAATTCCTTGCCCCATCCCTGGAAGTGTTCGAGGCCAGGATGGACGGGGCTTGGAGCAACCTGGTCTAGCAGAAGGTGTCCCTGCCCATGGCAGGGGTTTGGGACTAGATGGCCTTTAGTGGTCCCTTCCAACCCAAATTATTTCATGATTCTATGATTTTCATGTTGGATAAAGAACAAAAGACACAAGCATGGATCATACATTAATGTATTTTTTTTTGCATCCATTATAAATAATGTGTAAGTTGGTTCACCTCTCAGTTTTACACCATGTTCTAAGGACAATATATTACACCAGAACAAAACAAACTCGATAGAAAAAAAAATATATATACATTTTTTTTTTTCATTTGTACAGAAGTCATTCATCATGAAATGATACTAAACAGGAGACTGAACAGGTAAATGATGGAGAACCTGAGAGACAGGGATGGCATTTGCTGAAAGTAAACAAAAGGGTTTTATTTGATAGATCCAGACTGTCCCCTGCTCTACCTAACACATAATCTGGCTAAAATCAAATATGTTACAACCCTTTTTTTTTTTCCCCCCAACCAGAATTCAAATAATTCGATTTTCCTTGTATTTAAGTACTCCTTGGAGAATATGCCACAAAGTAGACTTTTAAATCATTCTGAACTGACAAGCAGCACTTCAATTGTGGGAATTTAGTACATACAAATTTAACTCGGGGACTGTGCCCTTCCAGAACCCCCCCCCCAACCTGAAATGTCCATGTGCCTTTATTTTCACAGTGATTCATAAAGCCACAGTTGAAAACACTTAAAACACCTCCAGGTAATAAAGTAGTTCAGATGTGACATGGCAAGACCTGCTGTACGAACAGAATTCAGTGACTTTTGACTGCTACAACATGAAATACTTTGGTTTTCGCCTATGCTGCATAGGAGACACATTCATGCACGGAACACCAGCGATGCTTTAATAATTTACAGGGTTATGTGGTTATTTTCAGTAGCCTGGACTTTTTTTTGTAAGAGAGGAGCTGCTTCTCTCCTGAGCTGACAAGAAGCAACACGGCACCCGTAAGCAGCGCTGCCTTTCTCTGGGATCCCTCCACCTGGGAAGGGATTGCCCTGAATCGGCCTGGAGCAACAAGCCCAGCACAGCAGAGAAAGGCTCTAAAAACGTGGAATGGCAAAAGGCACTTCTGAGGGTTAATTCACACAGGTAACACCAGAGGAAGTGGAGTTTTGCCTCAAAAATATTCACCAGTAGGACGTTTTCCCTCCTCCTCTCTCCTCTGCTTAGGTTGGTTTTGGGTTTTTATCGAATCTAAATGAAATAAAAGCAGAGCAAAGTAGGATAGGGGAGAAAGGGAGAAGCCAAAAAGCCCCTTTTTCTCTGTTCCTCCCTTCCATTCCAACGCCTGGGCTCCCTTTTTTTGGTGCTGTGCTCTTGCAATGCCTGGGTGTTTGGTTTGTAAAAGCCTGGTAACTCCCAGGAGATTAAAAGAATTAGTTAAGCAGTGGAGCCTTCAAAGTTGAGTCACGTGAAATGAGTTGCACCACAACTTCAGTGAAATATTCTCTCTCTTCACACCCTGGTCGCAGACAGAAGTAAACCAAGGCCAAGGTACGAAGCAGGGTTAAAATAATTAGTACTAAATTAGTGCTAGCTAATTCCCAAATAACAGTTCTGAACCTCATTTCCTTTGTTTCCTGGGAATATTTGGGAGCTTTGCTAATTTCCGATCAATTCGGGGAAATAATTTTGCAGCCTCCGAGAAACCCGCAAATCCTTGTTTTTCAGGTGACCTGGAGAAATCCCCACTCCAGGCATTAAGGAAAGCACAGCAGTGAAGTCATTTATAAAGACTGTGTGATGCTCCAACATGAGGTTTGTTCTTCCATGATTATATTTCCATTTCCACTGTGTTGCCTGCAATGGAGGAGGAGGAGGAGAAGGTCCATCAACCCTCCAAAATTAGTAATTAACCCCATAGACACAGAGAGCATCCTCTACAGCCACGTGCTAACCAGTGCCAAGAAAAACACCTTTTCCAGAGGTTCCTCCACAACTTTTAGGCAGTGTTGTTATCCCAGTTTCTGGGGGACTTCTGGTTTGTGACAGAATTACCACCTTGCTGGTGGTGTCTGAGACAAAACCCCCCTCCCTCTGTGCTCTCAACCAGCTGTTTCAAGAGGTCCAGTTCCAAGCATTGCCAGTGTGGCCCCAGTTTGATTTACAGTGTTTAGTGGTGTCTCACTGGGCTGGTTTGAAGCTGTTCCCAAAATTCTTGCGTTCTCCCAGCCTCTCCCGCTGATCCAACAGGATCCTCTAATTCCAAGCCTTGATGCTCCTCTGTGGGTTAAGGAGGACTAAGGTAATAGTCAAACACAATTTGGTTTATCCTGCTTTCCCTAACACGTGTTTATCTTCCTCTACTGGCATTTATATCCCCATTTACAACGCTGAAGGAAGTTAATTTAGGCTGTTATTCCCTGAGTTCGTCGTATTCACATTGAATATGTCTCTTCGCACAATTAACTGCAGTTAATCACAGACTTAAATTCTGCGCTAGGGTCTACTACAAATCATCCCTCAGGTCGAAACAAAAGTCTGTGAGGATTCCAATGCCAGGATTCCCCTGACAAAATCACCCAAGTGCCCCTTTTCACTCTTCCTGCCAGCTGTTTAACAAACACACTGCACTGCTCTACTGCATTTACAAATTATATGTAATAATTTACATATCGTACAAACAAAACTCCCATCTTCGCTTCCGTTGAGTGGCTCTTCCCGTGTTTAATAGAACTTACTTCCCCATACAAAAAAAAAATTAAGGCCTCTGCAACTTTTAAGTCATCTGGCAGCACAGCTTTTTTTTAAAAAAAAAATCAAAAATAGAAATAGTCTTTATTTGCCAGCTGGGAAATTTCTTCACGTGAAATAGCATTACACTTAGTTGGAGGCAGCAGCCTTGTTATATATTTTAAATAAACCTTTTGTTTTTTTTTCTGAGCTCTGCACAGAAAAAGCCACGAAGAATAACCCAGAATCAGTTTGTAGGACACAGACCATCCCAGGAAAGTCTTGCCTTCAGTAACATTTCTACTGACATTTATATTTCAGCTGACTGGTCAGTCGAAGCCTGACCCACCAGCACTTCAGAAGTGTTTTAGGAAGCCCAAAAATATTTTAAAGCTTTGAATTCAGGGACGTAAATTTGCTTTTAGGCCTCGGCTTCAAGGTGGATTCTGGGAATGATAATTCACGCTCCAAAACCTGGAAATACTGACAGGTCAGTCTTCAACTAACTGAGCCAGTACAGGATATTCAGAATTTAGATTTGACAGGAAACCCAAGGCATCAAAATAAATTAAACCAGAAAAAAACAAACGTGTCTGTTTTTTTCCGTAGCGAACATTACTTTTAGCAGAAGGACAATTCGGGGGAGAAACAAACCTCTCTCATTTGGCAGTGCCCAGTTTGGGAATTAGCCCTGTGCTCACCAAAATTCCCCCATAAAAAATAAAAAATAAAAAAAAAAATAAGGAGAAAAGGCAACACAGTGAGGAGCTGAAATATCAGCGTTCCAGTAAAGTGCTCGGGCCTGGCACACCCCGGGGCGGCTCCGCTACGACCTGATCTCTGAGCTGAAGGAAGGGGATGCCAAGTTCCTCACTATCCTGTTGAGGTTGGCGATCTTCTCTTCCAGCAGGTAGTTCTTCCTCTCGGCCGACTTCTGCCGCTGCTCCGTGGCCTCCAGAGCCTTGAGGAGCTGCGCGTTCTCCACGTACAGATCCTTCACCATCGCGTCCGCCTTGGTGTTCTTGGAGAGCTGCGGTGGGAACGGGACACGGTCACTCACCCAGCCGAGAATAAACAAACCTCTGACTCTTAAAATAAAATCTAAACTTTTAATTATGCTCAGATCCAAATTTATAATAGAAGTAAGGAAGGGGTGGGCGTGTTAGTTATAACTCGGATGTCAAAGGGAAAAACCCGCCCATTTGTTTTAGTTTTTAAACCATCTTATTCTTCAGCCATCCTGGAGTCTTCACACTGAATATTCTGAGTATTTTGAGACTGGAAAAGCTATTCAAGGAGATGAGAAAGGGCTTCGAGTGCTGCGTAACTTCCGCCCTCCACGGATAAATCCAGGTCACAAGAGGATCCAGGAGCCCGGTGATCCCACAGAGACACTTCCAAAAACCCCCAAACCACGCCAAACAAGGTGCATTTGGAGCAGGAGAGGCATCTAAGAAGTCAGTAATTGTAAAATAATCCTCTCTCAACTCTTCATCAGGTTCTTTTTCCTCCTTTTCTAAGCAAACTTTTCCAGTCAGGGATCCTCGGCTGGAATTTGACGTTTGTTTCCTGAGTTAGGGAATCACTGAGTGGTGGACTCCAAACTCCTAATTCGGAGTTTCAGGAATTTTTTGGGCAAATATGCCCTACTTGAGCTCAAAAGCATCAAACCAAAAATCACCCTAAAACTTCATTCTAAGCAACCACTCGGCAGCTTTTGCCCCCCCTTTGGCTGTTCCCAGAAGGAATGGGGATGACTTGAGGAAAACAAGGAATACTCACTTGTTCTTTCAGCTGATTGACTTTATCTTGGAGAAGCCTCTTCACAAGCCTTAGTTTCTGTTCCACGTCCATCATGCGCTCTTCCATCATTTTTAGGAGCTGCTCATGACCCCCCTGGAGAGCAACATTTACGTGACAATCAGTTAAAAGTCAGTTCACCTCCACCAGAATATTTTTTTTCCCCCCAGTTTGTATTTAAGAAAATACCTGGCACTCCACACTTCTGTTTTGGAGTCAAAATAAATAAATAAATAAATAAAATTAATAAACCCTTCGTGGAAGAAAAGGGTTGTGGCAACACTTAAGGGACAGTTGCAGCATTGCACTTGTTTTCCAAGTCAAAATTACACCTGAAATCACCAGATCCAAGAAAAACCTGATACAAAATTCAGCCTTAACCACCAGAGTCAGATCTGGATGATTTAGTTTTCTTGTTCTTTGGTGCTGC